TGTGTTCCCATACCACATGTTTTCTGCGCTGCTATCTTCGTACCACCTTACCAATCTTTCGTCGTCACCACAATATAATATTTTTATTTTTTTATGGAATTTAATGGAATTCCATATTGAAGTCAATATTTACATATTTGCCATTTAGAACCTAAATTGTACACAATAGTTCTATTTCGATATATAATAAAAATAAAAAATATATTTGGTGCTCGATTAGGCATTTAGAATGGTCACGCTAAAGATACGTGATCGAGAGAATTCACCACTAAACGTAATGCTCGTTGAACAAAAATTCTATGATCCGCATGCGTGATCTTCATTTGTTTGTTTTTCATTTTCAAAGCAATAAATTTTATGGAAAGAAAATTGTTCATAATGAAGGAAATTCAATAAATTTGTACTTTCTTTTGATGCAAAGAATTAGAGATTATGACCAGTATTCCTTACAAAATTTCAAGTAACAGACTTTATTGAGTGGCAGTAATGATTCCTTGCCTTTCTCCTAATAAACATCCTCATGGTTTTAGAGAAAAACATCTCATCAAAGAGGATATAAAATATTTTCTGGTAGAACCATACCTATTTAGAAAGTTGAGTAGCCATAAAGCGAGTTCAAACGAGAGAATTCTTATTATTCAAGACAAATATAGTTTTTACTCAGCTGATTCTAAATCTAAAGAATTTCAAATTCTTAACGAACAGAATAGTTGTTTTTTAGTCACTAGTGGTCATGGCGGATTCTTTCATATTCATTTCTGTCTGTTCTTATTGCACTAGTCCAACGGATGTAAATTATTCAAAACAATTATGGAAGTTTGATTATAAATTAATTGTCGTACAAACTTCTTCATACGTAAAAAGAAAACTATTTGTGATATCCTAGATAATCTGACTTTATCAGCGGAAGCTATCGCAACTAAGAAGAATTAAACAACACATACAGTTTTAGTTTTAGTGAATCTCTTGAGTTTATATCTTAAACAAAATTAAATACTTTATGGAAATTGAAAAAGTCAATTTTAAATATAATTTGAAGCTAATAAACATATTACAACTATAAAGGAAGAATCATTCACAATAACTAAAGAAGTTAAAGTACCACTTAAATCTTATATAAAATGATTGCGTGGAAAATATTAAAATTCCTTTTGAAGCTACAGTATAAATGAAAGCTACGGCCGGTCGTTACAAAAAAAAATGTTAAGAATGCTGGAGTTGATGTAGATGCTGTAAATTTATTTTTAAAAGAAAATAATTTCCGAGGAAAAATAATCTTAGAAAGTATAAATGGAAATTATTTGCAACAGCTGATTAATTTGTTTATATAATAACGAACTGTACTCATTTTTCAAAGCACAAGATAATTCACTCTTACAGCATTTTTTTTTACGGAATAGCATGGTTGGTAATGAAAAAATTCCCAATAAATTAGTACTTTCTAATGATGGTAATAAAATAAATATTATCACTGGTGTTCCTTATAGAATTTCACATAGCGGACTTTATGTAGATGATTCGTGTGGTTCACGTCCTTGCCTTTCTCCCGATTACCATCCTCCAGATCACTTTTTTTATTTAAGACAGTTGTGGGTTCTTAAGGAAACTTCATATCCAAGAGGATACAAAATTGCTGCCAATGGAAATTACATGGATAGTTTGGGAGGTGGCCATAAAGCGAAATGCTTCCTGAGTCCATTCGATAATCCTCCAGAGGATTCCGCTTATTCACAACAAATATGGTCTTTTTACTCTGAAACTGGTTCTAAATCTAAAGCATTTCAAATAAAGAATGAACAGAATACTCGTTTTTTAGGTGTTGATAAAATATTTTTTAATAAAAAAAAGGATGAACAAAATAATCGTTCTTTAGACATTCCGAGTCGTGACTCTGGCTCTAATATTTATTTCCGTAATCGTCCAACGGATGCATGGAATTTTATCCCAGCTTTTGATTACAAGTTGAATGCTGTAGTTGACAACTTTGAGTATAAAATTCCTCCAGGAATAAAAACACAGAAAATAGAGAAAACTATTCATGAGGATATCCTAAATAATCTATCTTCATCTTCAAAACTTATAACAACCTTTGATTTCCAAGAAGGATTAATTAATACATTTAAATTTAGTTTTAATGAATCTCTCGATTTTATTTCAGAAACAAAATTAATTACTGTTATTCCCTTTAAAGATATTGAAAAAGAGTTTAATTTTAAATATAGTTTCGAAGCTAATAAATCAAGTAAAATTATGGAAAAAGAATTATGCACAACGACTAAAACAATTGAAGTATCACCCAAATCTTGTGTGAAAGTTACAGATTATTGCGATTTCATGGTAAATATCGAAATTCCTTTTAAAGCTACTGCCGAAATAACAGCCATATGCGATCGTTACAAAGAAGATGGTACAATAGTTAAAAATTCCGAAGTTGAAGAAGATGCTGTAAGATTATTTTTGAAAGAAAATAATTTTCAAGGAAAAATAATCAAGTTTGAAGGGAATTCCATTTTTGCCAAAGTAAATGACACATTCCGTGGCTCATACGTCCTAAAAACTTATAGAAAATTAGAAGACATAATTCCTATGGTTCCCGAAAATACTGTGTGCATAGATTAGATGGAAGATCATCAAACATCGTTGCAGACTATTTAGGTCTACAATTGTTATGTATATTATTAGTTATTTTATGATTGCAATTGTCATGTATATTATTATAAGATTCATATTGTTTATTGTTCTTACATAATTAAAGGAAAATATAATAATAGTTCAGTTATGAGAAATTTATAATAATTTGTATATGACCAAATCTATTTAATATTTACACTATTGCCCATGTCTTGCATTACCAGACAAGTAAAGCTTTGACAAATAAATACTTATTGCATCACTTAAAACTGTTTGCAACTTTATGAATAGTATAACTAAGGCTATCATATTTCTATACTCTTAGTTACACTTACGCAAACTCCTTTGTTATAACATATCAAAGTTTGTTCTTTAGATCCAGGTGTTTGTACATTTTTAACTTGGTGTTCACCTACCCATGATTAGTGTTGTCAAGTGACACCGTTGGGACAAAAATTAATTACTTTAATAGCTCGAAATAAGTTTTATAATAAAATTTGTTGTTTAAAATTGATTTCTTGCATATATTTATAAACTAGTTAAGAGTACGGAAAGCGCGGTTGCGGACATGGGACAGTTAAAAAAGCTCTAGGACATGCAACACTTTCATGGATGAAGAGAAATAGGCAAACGAATTCACAAAATTTTTATTTGACACTGTCTTATTCAAGATGACTTTATATCACGAGCAAATAAAAAAACTGCTCACATACCTTTGATGTTATCATTATTCCTAAATTTAATGGGAATGGGAAAGAGATTTCATTGGAAAATTAATAATAGAACTGTATGCAAAATGGTGAGACGAGTACATGCAAGATTTAGGGAGAAGAATTCGAAGAAATAGGAAAACATTTATGTTAACGATAAAATATTTTTTTTTACAAAATTTTCATCTCATCTTACGCAAAAAGATAAAAATTTGTGTAACGATAAAAGATAAAATATAAAAGACGAGAAATTTGAATTCAAAAAAAAAAAAAAAATGTCACTCACTTCTTCAGAATGTAGCGAGTCAGAAAACGATTCTAATGGTGAGAAAAATTGAACTTTTCTTTGAAAATCCTTGGATATATAATTTTTTTTTTCAGAATTCAAAAGTTATAAAAATTATCTAAAATATATTATACATTTTTTAAAATATCTGATATTAAAAATTTCTAGACGAACGATGGGATGATTGGGAGGAGGAAGAGGGAAATCAACAGAATCTCAAATGCTTATTTTGTAAACAATTATTTTCTACCTCATCGAATGATTTATTTTTTCATTGTATCGAATATCATGGATTTGATTTTCAAAAAATTCGATTGGATTTGAGTAAGCTCTTAAAATAAAAATTATTTGAAATTATTTGAAATTTATTTGAATTTTCTACTTTTATTAAATTTTTTTTTATAGTTTTAACTTTCAACTAATAACTTTTTTTCTAAAAGAACTTGATTTCTATCAATCAATTCGCTTGATAAATTATATTCGTAAACAAGTAAGTTTTTAAATAAATATCTTAAAGAAAATATTTATTTTATTAATTTTACTAATTTTATTTTATATAAAAAATAATAATGATAAAATTTAGGTCTTGGAAATTCCCGAGTTAGAGAATGTGACTTCTTATTCAATATCTGAAATATCATCTGTTATTAATAATGATGAATATCTTAAACCTGTTCTTGAAGAAGATTCATTATTATACGGTAAGAATTTTTTTTTTTTTATTTCCGAGACAACTTTTAAACTTTAATTTATTTAATACTAAACAAGTCATTAAATTATTTATAAAAATACAGCTTTTGACAATGATGAAATTGAAGATGATGATTTTGATGAGAAAATAAATTTAGATGGAATAGAAGATCAAAATCAAGGTATAAGTTTATTATATAAATATAATATTAATCGTAGTTCAAATGTCCGTTATTTAATTTTATTTTAATTTTTATTTTATAGAAATTTTAAAAGACATAAATCCAACCACTCCATTGGAACATGAACTTTTAAAAAAATTAAGGATAACAGAAGAAAAACTTTTTAACACTCAAGTTCAACTTAAGAAAGTAGAAACACAATCTGATGAATATCGTAATATGGTCAAAGAATCACTCTTTGATATTTATTCTGATGCCAAGAGGTAAGTTTTTAATGATAAAATTAAAACATCTGTAAGACAAAAAATACATCTTTATTTTTATTTTTATTTTTTTTTAATTTATTTTGTAGTGAAAAGTCAATGATATCGACTAATATTTATGGAGAAATGGCTAATTATTATTTTGATTCATACGCAAAAACCAGTGAGTTATTATTTATTTATTTATTTATTTATTTTTAGAGGACGAATTAAAATTAAATTAAATTCAATTTTAAGATATTCACGAGGAAATGCTGAAAGATCGTGTACGAACCGAAAGTTATCGGGATTTTGTATATGAAAATAAAGATCTTTTCAAGGGAAAGGTAAATTTTTAAATTTATAATATTTTTAATATTTTTTAATCATATTAATTAAATTCTTTATACATGATTTTTTCTAAAAATTTTTTTTATAGACTGTTTTGGATGTTGGATGTGGTAAGCATAATATTCACCTCCAATCTTATTATCTATTTATTCTTTTATTGATTTGAACATAAATATTTTTTTTTTTTTAGGAACTTGTATTTTATCAATGTTTGCAGCTAAAGCCGGAGCTTCTCAAGGTATTTTATTTTTATATTATTTTTTTTTATAAGGGGGTTATTAATACTGAAATTACATCCATTACAGCTGTTTACTGTTTTTTTTTTTTTTACTTTCATTTGGTATAGTTTTTTCTGTAGACAAATCAGATATAATTCATCGAGCAAAAGAAATTGTTAAAGAAAATCAGTTAGAAAATGTTATCACGTAAATTGGTTTTAAAAAATTTAAAGCTAGGATGATATATTTAATAATAATAATTTAATAATAATATAATCATAATTTTGATTATTTATATAGTCTTATAAATAGTAAAGTTGAAGATATCAATCTTCCCGTGCCAAAAGTCGATATTATAATTTCAGAATGGATGGGATATTTTCTATTATTTGAAGGAATGTTAGATTCTTTGATTGTTGCGCGTGATCAATGGCTTTCACAGGATGGAATTCGTAAGTTCATATTTCCTGCTTTACGCCTTTTCCGCTTTATCGCTTTACTTCTTCTTATTACTTTACATTACAATACAAAACTTGGCATGATTTTATTGAATTTAATAATTTATTTTAGTTGCACCTAGTTATTGTCAACTTTTTCTGGCTGCCATCGAAGACGACGATTTAATAAATGATAAATTTAATTTCTGGAATGATGTTTACGGTGTGTATGTGTGTCAATATTATTATATTTAATAATAAAATATAATATTGATGAAATTGATGCAATATAATTAAAATTTCATAAATTTTTCTAGGATTCAAAATGACAGCTATGAAAAATCCCGTTAGACAGAGTGTCATAGTTGACTACGTAAAACCACAAGCAATTATTACTAACGTGATATCCATAAAAGTATTTATTTTTTTTTTCCTTATTTTTATAAATAATTATTATTTTTTTTCTTTCAATTCGTATTAATTTAATATTAATTTAATATTAATTTAATATTAATTTAATGTTACATTAAATTATTTTACTCTTGTGATAAAGGAAGTACCATTATACACAATTGATAAATTTGGATTAAATTTTACTTCACCTTTTACATTCAAAGTTATTCGTGATGGTACCATACATGGATTTATGGGATATTTTGATACATGGTTCACGAGAAATAGAAATATTGATATTCGGGATTTGAATAATAATAAAAATGAAAAAAAAGATGAAGATATTATTTATTTTACAACAGGACCTAACGGAACAGAAACACATTGGGGACAGACAATATTTATGCTAGAACATGGAATTTCGGTAGAATGCGGTATGTATCGATACATTAGTATATGCGTGTATGCGTCTATAACATTTTCTTCTCATCCAATTTTAATTTTATAAATTTTTAAATTTTTATTTATTCATAGGAACAATAATTACGGGATCATTTGATTGTCGCAAAAGTAAAGAGAATCCACGAGACCTTGATTTAAAAATTAAATATAAAGTAATAAGAACAGGAGGTGAAGATGATGAGAGTAGAATAAAAGAATATTCCCAAAAATTTTATTTGCGAAATTTTTAATTAAAATAATTCTTTTTCATGTGTGGGTTACGAAATCATATAATTAAAAAAATGATCAAGGTACTACTTCAATACCTTTAAATTTATTTATAGTAAAAAACTTATTTTACATATAAAGCATTAAATATTGATTGTTCTCATTTAATTCTGAAATAAGGAAGTGAATTTCTTCCTCAATTCTTTAACTTATAAAAATAAGCATTCAATTCTGAAGTTACACGGTGATCTACATTACTATAAGTAGCGTGATCATCATATATGTGTGTAACCGTAAGTAGATATAAATTGTTTATAATGATCATAATGAAGAACCCTTTGTCTCTCTTCCCAAAAGACCAGTAATACCCGTAAAAATGGTGCAAGAATTTCCAACCGAACTACAACTTTTGATTTTAACTGATGTTCTTAATCTTACGAGGTTAAACATATTTCGTATATCAATATTATTATTTGATTTATCTCAAGAAAAAACAAAAAAACAAAAAAGGAATATACGGAATATAAAAGATTTAATTATTTAATATCTTTAGTTATTCTTTCTTGACCACGTTTCGTCTTGTATGTAAAAAATGGAATGATTTGATTATAGTTATATTTAAAGATAATATTTGTGCGAGAATTAAAAATGACATGTTCATAAAGGTATTATCTTATTGCCTAGTCTATTTTGATTGTCCAAGGTGGAATTATTATCAAATATTTTTTTAATCGATTTTTTTTTTTTGTTCCATTTATTTCAAATATTTTTTCCTGTATTTTCCCTCTTATTTATTTTTTTTTACTTATTTAGATCGAAAATTTCGGTGAAAAACTTGTAGCATCAGAGAAAATTGAACCATCATATAACTATGAAACCAAACAATTCAATATAAATTTTGATTCTACAGATATTTATGAATCATTTTCTCTAAATGAATATGGCTTTGCTCGAGAGACAATTTTCGTATATTTTGGATGGAAAATTTCTACAAACATGATTGGATTTCAAATTTGTACCATAGATTTTTCTAAATTAATAGATAATTCAAGATATGAATTTGGTTCACCTGAAAAAAGAAAATTGACAGTTTTATGTAATCAAAAAGATAATGATGATGATGATGATAATAATAATAATAATAATAATAATAAGAAAGGGAAGGAGAAAAGAAAAGACAAACATTTTAGAAAATTATCGGTTGAAAGTATAAAGATTCCTGTTGGCGATCTTTGTTTGATTATTGATCAATTAGAGAAGTATGCACGAAAGAAATTATTTATTCGAACAAATTAATTTTTTTCTAATTTATTTTAATTATTTTAAATAAAATAAATAAATAACAATATAGTCAAATTGATAATCCGAATTTTATTATGTTTATATTTATTTTAACTAATAGCAAGATTGGACATCATTATAAATTCAAGTTTATATTTAATAATCCGATTATTGAAAATTTCAGTAGCGAGAATGAATTTTTTTATTGGTGGGATGATGAAGAGTTACGACCTGTTCGACAATATTCCGAAGACATCTCGCCAACTAGATTTAATTCATTTGAAACTGAAGGTGGCTACGTTTACGATCACGAATATGATATGTATTATTGAAATTTATTGTGGTATAATATTTATCATCAGTATTTTTTTTTATGTTCTTAATATTTTAAATCAATTGATATTAATTTATTATTTCAAAAAAAAAAAAATAATGGGAAAAATTATTTCTGATGGAAAATTTTGTAAATAGAATACGTACGTAAAATGTTATCGTTACGCGACGTCATGTGCAAGCTATTTTTTATTCTGAATTGCTGATCAAATGTGATTACACAAAAATATTTCAACGCGAAATAGGCAAAATATTCAATAGCATGTTTTTCATTTAATTAATCACATTAAAATCATATTATCTCCGACCATTATTATTTCTACAATTAATTTTAACTTTTAACTTATTATTTACTATTAAGTTGCACAAACTAATTTAAATTATATTTGATACGCGTCGATATATAAATATATAAATAAACAAATCATAGTCAAAATATATATATATATATATATATATATTGTAGTCATAAATTTAACCCCCCGCTTTTACAGTCATTACAGAAGGTATAGTCACGAAAAAAAAAAAAAAAAAAAAACTTTACCCACAAAATGACAAATACGAAAGCAAACGCTAAAGCCACCTTAATTGCATCCACAAAGGCATCCACTAAAGCAAGCACTAAAGCCACCTTAAAAGCATCCACTAAATCATCCACTAAAGCAAGCAGCACTAAAGCCACCTTGAAAGCATCCACTAAAGCATCCACTAAAGCATCTACTAAAGCAAGCACTAAAACGAGCACGAAAGCAAACACTAACGCCACCTTAATTGCATCCGTTAAAGCAAACACTAAAGCCACCTCCCAAAGAATAAAAGAAAAGAGGACAAATATCTCCAAAGTTCCAAAACTCCCACCAAGAACTCCCATTCGGATCAGAATCAATCGTCCGAAATCAGACAGTCAAGTATTTGAGGATACTGCCAAAAGGATCGCACTTCCAATCGACTATCCAAAAAGAAATTATGGAAACCTGACTGAAGCATTTTTAAAAAGTAAATTAGAAGATGAAGAAGAAGTAGAAAAAGGACTCTCGGAAATTAAAGAATCTCAAAAGAATGAACAACAAAATAATCAAAGTAGTCAACACGGAGAAGAACAATCTCCCTTTATGGCAACAATCTTAGCAGTCCGAGGAAAGAATAAAATAGTGGAAGAGTCACAAATAATAGAAGAGCCCTCTCCTTTACCTTTTCATGAAACAATTAAGGAAGTTCAAGATATACATAAGATACCAGAATCTCCTCCCGAATGTATAGATATTGAATATGATAGAATTAAAAGACTTTATTATCTGCGTGACCTACATTTACGTTTTATCGGACCTACGCAAGCAATCTATGGCCCTTATATTTCTTACCCACCCAATGAAATTAATTACATTACTTCCGCTAACCATGTTCCCATTCATTCTACCTTCACTAATCCCGTCACCAATCTTCCTTCAACTCCACCTAATAATAATGAAAATAACGAAAATATTCCCGTTACTAATCATCCTTCAATTCCACCTAATAATAATGAAAATAACGAAAATATTCCCGTTCCTTATCGTTTCCAAAATATTTTTACTCCTATACGAAAACCAATTCGTGTTATTAAGACTCCACGCACACCTGGTAGAAAACATTTACCATCTTATTTAAAATCTTTAATTATAGAACAACCAACTACACCTCAGCAAGTCGGAATGCCGAGTGATTCATCATCAGTACTTCAACCTGAACATTTGGGATCTCAAAAATCGGAAATCCCAAATGTCCAGGTAGAAATAATGATTGATAATAATGAATTTCGAAAGAAGAAAAGGGATCAATATGCTATTAAAAATAAAAATAAAAATAAATCCACAAAGAAAAGAACATCTAGTGATCTTGATTCATATAACCTATTTTTTGAAGAGAACGTTAAACCATCACCAACTTCCAGAAACAACATTCCTGATCTTAGAACATTAGATGGAGCTCAATATAATAATTTTATTATTAATAAGATTTCACCTGGACATGAAAAACAAATTGATTTAATTTATCAACAATATAAAGGACAATTTCCAAAATGGTGTTCTGAGTTACAAGCAGGATTTAATCTTTGTTTCTATGGTTATGGATCGAAGGTAACTTTATTTGATGAATTTGCCGCTAAGCATTTAAATACTCAACCAATAATAAGGATCCCCGGATTTGATTCGGAATTCGATTTTCCAGGAATTTTTGAACTTCTTGAAGAAGTTATTCCTGAATTAAGATTATATCAAACCATAGAAGAGAAAATTGTTCTAATTAAAAATTACTTTTCCGACGAAGATCGTCTTCACGAGAATTTATTTATACTCGTTCATAATCTTGATGGACCAATATTTCGTGACGTTCGGAATTTAAATTGTCTTGCTGAACTAGCGAACAGTTCCAACATTTGCATTATTGCAACTGTGGATAATGTTAATTTCCCAGTTCTACTCGACCAAGATAAATGTAATAAATTTAATTTTATTTGGTCCGAGATCGCATCATTCAAAAGATATGATACTGAGTTATTACAACAACAAAAACAACAACAACAAGAAGAAGAAAATCAACGACCAACCAAGAAGAGAAAACAAAATTTGAATAATTCTTCCTTTAACTTAGTTAAAGAAGTATTATTAATTTCAACTGAAAATAAGAAGATGATGTTTAAAATATTGGCAATTCATCAAATTGATCAACATCAATTATTTCAATCATCATATCAATCAGGAGAAGATGATGGTGTTAATAAAATCGAAGATGTGGGTATGGAACGTAGTGAGTTATATAAAAGATGCCATGAAACATTTGTTGTTAGTAGCGAGACCAATTTCAATAAGTTTTTGAATGAATTCCGTGGCCACGAGATTATCAAGATAAGAAATTCTAATAACGGAAAAGAAATATGTTATATTCCGATGGAAGCAGATGAATTGAATAAGATTCTAAAAACCCAAGGTCTTTTAGATGGTGATGGTTAAACATGTGGTTAGGATTATAGGGAGTTTTTTTTTTTTTTCTTTTTAATATAATTGGGATTAAGGGGGTTTTTTTTCCCTTTTAGATAAATGGGTTTGGGATTATGTTTTTTTTTCTTCAATAATATTATCAAAAGCAACATGTAACCAAATAATAGAATGCACAATGTAAATTGCAATGTAACTTTAATATGATTTAATTGATTTACTTAACTGTCAAAGGTATTCATTATAAAAATAATGTTCGCTAACATGTTTAAGTTCGTACTGATCGTTCAATTTATAGAATTTATGTAGAATTAATAGAATTAATGGATATTTTAGGTTCATTGAAGTGATACAACTTTTATTTTGATTTTTTATTCAATTTTCAAATTTATGCATATATATATATTAAAGCAAACCATCTGTTATGACTACATTTATATTCATATTATTAACAAATATGAAATAAATTAACAAAAATTTTTGTAATTGATTAATTTTATAAAATTATTATTAAAATTTATTCTGAAAAATTACCTTTTGAAATTATCTTTATTTTTTTGAACATAATTTACCTCTATTTTTGTATTTTTTGAATTAATTTATTATATATTGTATTCTTCGATAATTTAAAAAAAAATAATAATAATATTCGACGACAAAGTTATAATAATATCTTTTCGGAAATACACAAGTCAAAAATGTCTTCTCTTATACTAAGTCATAAAGAACGAGCTGAAGGTCCTTGGGTAAAGCTACAGTCCGAACCAAGTATTATATTTTTAATATTTAATATTTAATATTTTTATATTTTTTATTTTTTATTTTTGAAAATACATAAATAACTTGAAATATTTGAAAATTATTTTTCAACTTTCAAGCACTTTTCACTGCGTTGATGAATAGCTTAGGAATAAAAGGTGCCAAAGCAACGGAGGTATTTGTTCTTGACCAACAAGATAACTTTGATGATATTGGGTGGGTAAATTAAATAATTATTTATTATTAATATCTTTCAATATTCTTTAGTTTTAGTTACTTCAAATATTATTATTATTTTTTTTTTTTTTAGAAATTTTATTCTGCTTTTCAAATTTATTAAATTTTATAGTTATTTAATTTTAATTTACTCAGAGAAATTTATGGTTTTGTGTTCCTTTTTAAGATGAATGAAACCAAAGGAGGATTATTAAATGATAATGTTGATTATGATGAAGAATTCCTTGAAGATTATCCACCCAATGTTTATTTTGCTAATCAGGTAAATTTAATTCAATTAATTCAATTAATTCAATTAATTCAATCAGTTCAATTATCATTTTCTTGTTCAATTCTAAGAATTTACAAATTTAATAATAAAAATAACAATTTACGTAATAGGTTGTTGATAATGCTTGTGCCACATTAGCAGTATTAAATATTGCTTTGAATTGTCCTCAATTAGAGATTGAACAAGAATTAAAAGAATTTAAGGAATTCACTTGGGATCTCCCTCCAGCTGTAAATATACAAGATTATATTATTATTATTATTATTGATCTAATCTAATTCTACTTTATTGTTTTATTTTTTTTTATAGACACGAGGCTTTTCAATTACAACTCATCCTAATTTTCGCCAAATTCATAATTCAATGGCAAGGTTGTAAAAAAGACTTAATAAATTTTTGAACCAAAAAAAAATTTATATGTGATTTAGGAATTTCTTTTTTCTTTTTTTATAAAAAAAAAAAAATAGACATCCCGAAGATTCATTGATTATAGAAGAAGAAGACAATAAGAAAAAAAAAGATAATTCTAATGAAGAGAAAGGAGAAGTTTATCATTATATTGCATATGTTCCCGTAGATGAAGAGGTCTGGCAATTGGATGGTCTTTATCCTCGTCCTATTAAAATAGGTAAATTTTTATTCTTTGTTTTTCGTTTGTTTTTAATTTTGATTTTTATCTTGATTTTAATTTTTTTTTAATTTTTATTAAGGAACTTATACGGATGAAAAAATATGGTATGATGCTGCACGGGGTGTTATAAATGAACGCATTGATATGTAAATATAAATGAAAAATTTTTATTTTTTTAAATGTAGTCAAAGAAAAAAATTTTAATTATAACAATTTAAATTTTTGTTTACTCCTTTGTTTTCGTAGATTTCACGCTGAACAAGGTAAATTTTTAATCAAAATTATTTTTTAATAAGGTTGATTATTACTTTGACAAAATATTTTTTACAATTCTTTTTATAATACAGAATGATATTTTGTCATATTTTTAAATAGTTGAATATGTTCTCCTTGCTATCACGAAGGATCAAAATAGCATATACCTCGATCGTGTGAAAGATTGTTTGTATATTAAAAAAATTGCCGAAAATAGATTAGATGAGCTTAGTAAAACTTGGAGAGAGACAAATGTCGATGATGTATATTATATGTTATTTATATTATCGTAACCAATTATTTTATTTAGAACTATTATTTATGTTTTATTTATGTTTTATCTATGATTTAGATTGAAGAAACACTTACAGATGATGATGAGTTGAAATTATTAAAAAGAGGAAATGTTGACATCGATATTACAAATTTAATGAAAAATTATGATGACGTTGAGAAGATTGAACGGACAAGAGCTAAGGCGGTGAATGAAATCAAATTTTTACTGGAGGCCATTGATAGAGAAATAAAAATGAAAGAGGTATTGTTTACACTATTTCTATTATTTACTGCTATTATTGTTTTCTTATTTCTTGATTTATTAAATTATTAGGTAGAAAAAGAAAGAAGGACATTTGATTATGGTCCATTTATTAGAGAATTCATCTCAATTCTTCATGAAAGAGGAGAATTGAAAGGGTTACTCGCTAATGCTGATGATATGGATGAAGGTGATGAATGAGATTTTTTAAATTATCGTAATCATTATTCTTCTTTTCTTAAATTAAATTAAATTAATTAAATTAAAATTAAATTAAATTATTTATTTATACAACTCTAAAGAATATTATTTAAATTATAAGTTTTTTTTTGATTGTATCTTGAATTTTTATTCTTGTACATATATATGTATTGTATGTATTGTATATTTTCTTTTTGGTTGAATTTATTTATATTTGTTATAAAAATTATTTTTACATTTTGTAATGATAAAAGAATAATAATTAAAATAGATTTATTGTTTGATTACATATAATTTAAATAAATTTAAGTGTAATATTTATTTATTTTATTTTTATTTTTTATCATATGTAAAAATTATATAAAAGTGTTTTGTTTTAGGCGGGAAAGCGTACTTTTATTATGGACAAAGGTAAATATTTAGGATATACGATAAAATCTATGATTTGAACACAAAGAGAACTATTGTTGACTTAAACTGTAAAAAAATAATTACCAGTACATAATATAATCACTTGATATTATTTGATTTTTTTTTTTGCGATATGAAACAAACATAATAAATTTAAACAATTTTTAATTTTAGCAAAAAAAAAATTAAAACCATTAATTATTTATTAATTGTAATTAGAAGATTACATTAAAAATTAAAGTAAGAATTTCTGAATAAATAACATAAAAACATTCCTAACCCGAGGATAAGTTAAATGTAATTTAAAAAATAATCAGAATTTTTAAATTTTAAAGAAAGTAAAAAAAAAAAAAAAGACTAATATTACATTTTAAATTTTTAAAATTTATAATACACAATAAATAAAATTTTAAATATTTACACTAGTCATTATGACGCGTGCTTATGATAGCAACTGATGTCAACTGGTATGGTGTCAATTTGTGACATTACATTATAGAGCAGTAGTTGGTTGGATCACCGCCACCAGGTTTCTCAGTAGCTCCAAGAATAATAGGTCTGGAGGATTGCATTATAGAGCAATAATTGGTTGGATCGCCTCCGGAAGGTTTTTCAGTAGCGTTGGTAGTAGTGGTAGAAGGAGTGGCAACGATTTTTGGATTCATTTTTAAATTGTGATTTTTTAAGTTTTTAGAACTTTAGGAGTTAAAAATATGGAGAGAACGAATATATTTTTTTTTATAATGTAATATTAGTTTTTTTTTTTTAAAGAAACTTTCAAAGTTTTAAATATGGAATTAATTTTTTTTTTTCTTCGTGATTAAAAGGATCTTTTTGTTGTTGTAAAAAACAAGCTAGCAAAGAGGCCATATTTATAATAATTCTCATCAGATTCAAAAAATTAATAAAATCATAAAAAAACAATACGTTAATATTATTCACGAAGAGATTCATATTATGTTTATCCACAATAATACCATTATGCATCTCCTATGTTTCAAAGGTTATAATATACATTTAAGGAACATATCGATAACATTATTCTTTAATAACTATGTATGTTCTCCTTAGAAGGTATGCATATCGCATATATTTGATATTGCCTTCTATTGTTTACCATAACAATACTTTACATATATGATAGGTTTGTTAAAAAACAAATCATGCTAATAATGAAAATAATGATAAGAAAATAAATTATTAAATCGTGACACTAAAAAAAGGTAATTAAATTTTGTGGAAAATGAACTAGCCAAAATTGGTAATGTCCGTTTATAAACTAGCTAAAATTTACCGTTAAGAATCTTCATCGGTATTCGTGTTATTATCAACAAAGAATGAAAATCAAAAATAGGGACAGATAAACAGTTTTCAACATGATAAAAATAATATTATCATGATAAAAGATATTGTGGTCGCCTCTATCAAATTCTATCTTTGATAAGCAAAGTAATTTTCTTTAGATAAAATATATGATAATTTAATATTATTCTTATTAATTCTATAAATAAACTTTTAATTTTTATTTATACAATACGAGATAAATATATCTATTTTCGGAAGATGATAATAATTTATATAACATTTTTACCAAATTTATTAATATCTGTTAGAAGGAATTTGTAAATTAAATATTGCATACAATGATGAAACAAAAATAAACATATGGTTAAAAATCAGGGGAATTTTTGGTTTTATCTTAAACACGGGGAGACCGACGATAATGACAAATAATTGGCCGTTGATTAATGATGTGTTATACAATTGGTTGCCATTTGTGTGATTGATGTCGAAATGGCCTTAGGAAGAATATGCAGCAGTGATCATAGAAAATTATTTAGAGTCGGGAATAAGAAATATTATTATTTTTCATTTTTCTTTTGTTCCTCAATTTTTTCTCCTTTTCTAATTCTTTTGATATCGTTAGTTTTATTTTATAAATGTATATATATTCTTTACTTACAAGAGCAAGTGTAGGAATTGTAAGAATTGATAATTTTTTCAAGGATTTATTTTTTTTTTCTCATCTTTAAAATAGTTTTATTAATTTATATAATTTTTAATTAATAATTTTAATATTTTTTTAGTCACGAACATATTAAAAAATTTAATTACTACTGTGTCAAAGAATCTCTCTCAATATTAATTCATCAAGTTTATTGTATTAAAGAAAATTACTCAAAATCAAATAACAACTAAAAATAATAACATCGTTAAACTTATCTGGGAAGGATATATTATTATATATTAACAAATGAATTAATCGTTTTTGTCGCAATTATACAAAGGCTGTTATTACTAACACAAGACACCTTTCAGGAAATTTATAATTCAACAAATTCATCTATTATTCCATTTCTATATAAATCCAAGAACCTCCATGCCTTTCTTTGCAACTCTCTTATAATAATTGTATCTAAACCTTCAGGAATAATCAAACCGTGAATAATTATAATTTTCTAAAGTACATATATCTTTTTACAGCACCCTAATATCATTCAATAATTTAAGTAACTTAGGATAAAAAAAAATACATTTATGTCTAGCATCTATAATAGTTCTTCCAATGCACTTACTGTTAAATGGTGGATATCAGTGATTACGATGAAAAATTGAAACATTGATACAAATTAAGCATTATGGAGTTTCTTTTTTTTTTTTTTGATTTAAAAAGTTAGATTGTAATGATATGATTCTTCTTAATTCGATCTTCGTTATATTTTATTTATTCTATTATTGCGTAATTGAACAATAAGATATTATTGCGTAATTGAACAATAAGATATTATTGCGTAATTGAACAATAAGAAATTAATAAAGATTTAGGTTTTTATTTGTTCAAAATTGGAGTTTTCTTTTATAAAGTCAATTTCTCCATCCCACCCACCATCATCATTCTTCCATTATTATCAAGTTTTTGTTCTTTAACATTGATTTTACGAGGTATTATTTTTATAGATAAATACATTAAAATAATTATATTACGCATGGTTTCACAGTATTTTTTGAATTAAAAGCCACCAAAATTTAATATTTTATTAATTAATCATACGAAATATAATCAAGTATTTTAAATTAAAATCACCCCATAAAATAATTTTCTATATAAAAATAAAAAAAAATTATCCGATAGAATTAACTCCTTTTTTCGTAATTCATATGAATATTGAAACCGTGATCAAGTCAAGAGATCAAATTATAATGATGAGAAACAAAATCATGAGGAACAAATATTCTCAAAGTCTGATATTTTTAATATTCTATATATATCACCTCTACATTCTCAATTAATTTTGGGATATTTCATTTTTCTTCGTCTCTTCACCTTTGAATACCTTTCATTCTCAATTTAAAATACCTTCTTTTTCCAATTTGAGGTTAGATCTTAATCTTTTGGGATGGAAAGTATATTCTGGATAATTCTGTCTCTGGAATTTAAGCGCTTCTTCGTATAAATTCCTGAAAAAATTGTTTTTGTTCACCCGAAATCATTCTCCAAAGTATAGATTGAGACCTCGATAATATAGTTTGATTATTATGTCCAATTATCTTATGTTCTTTGGAATAATGAGCAATAAATCGCTTAAATTGAAAGAAGCAATTGGCCACTCTTGGTATAATGCGATTTTCACCAGATCTATTAGGTAAAAGTGAGTTGGGGTTAGGAATTCAAAAGGCTCCAATCCAAAAATGCTCCAAATCGACTTGTGCAACGAAATTTCCGACTTCAATCTCAATATTTTTAACTTCTACAAAAGGATATTTATATGGAACTGAGGACATCTTTGCAAAAAAAAAAATGTTGAAATAATATAGTAATAATAGGGAATCAAGAAATAATAAGAATTATAAGGAACTACTGGAAATTTGAATGCTCGAATGTGAAATTTATATATTGCATTGAAGGGCAAAGCAGAAATTGCTATTTTAATCGTATGGTTTTACAGTTGCTGAAATATGTGGGAGAAGGAATATTTTTTTTGAGGAATTCAGATTAATTAATTATTAAACAAATAAAAGAGACTATTTGTGTCACATTTGTATGTATATTAAACAAAATAATAAACGGTTAAAAATATTACTCGGATTTTTTCTGAGAATTCTCATGCATAAAGTTTATTAAATCCAGAAAATTTTATTATAGATAAACAAATGTAGATAGCCGATAGGTAATTACAATTGAGGAAATATAAGGGAAAAAATACAATTCGAAATCTATAAAGCTATTAACTATTTAGATGCAACAAACGTGTGTCTACATTAGTGAAAGATAGACGTTGTACTTTTTAATTAATCTTCAATTAAATTATTTCTAAATTATTTCTTTAAATCATTAATCATTCGCAAGAGTTTCATAATATTACATCATTTGATTATATGATCATCAATTTTTTTAAAAAAATTTACTTTTTCTGAAATGTATTTAGTCATGATCTTATTTTTATCACAAGGTAAAAGTTTCAGATCTATTGTCTGAATTATAAACCTTTAAATTTTAAACGAATATCATTCTCAAGTATCATTAGGTGTGCATTATATTTCTTGCTTTAAATAGTTTTATATATAATTTACCAAAATGAATGAGATAATCATTAATTAACTATGAAGAGAGAATATGATTTGAATGGCCCAAAACGGGAATATACGCAAAATGTTTGAGTATATATATTTATATCTGTTCTTTTGAGTTGTCGAGTGATCGTCGTTTTTGTTTTTTTTCATTATTTTTAGAAGTTAAGAAATTAGATTCATTCTTTTTTTTCTCTCGTTAATAGTTAATAAGGTTCCCAATATTATTCACTTAACAAAATCTATTTATTTCATGAAAATTTAAATTATTTAAAACCATATGAATGAAATTTACGAAAATGGAATTATACTTATATCAACATTCAATGCAACCGATTCAACCGATTCAACCGATTCAACCAATTCCACTAATTCAACTAATTAGACAATCTCAATATCAAAATATAAATCGAAATCAATGTCAATATTTTGAAAGAGAAATTGTAAGGTTATATTTGACGAATTGGATAATTAAATATACTCCGTATAATCAACGTCTTAATGAATATGTAAGTATCAAATATACCATAATATTAAAATTATTTCATTCATATTATATCATTTATATTGTATAATTAATTATCTATTAATTATTTAATTGTTTATATGATAAAAAAAAAAAAGTTTACAGTTCAAGAATATACATCTAGAATAAACAAATTTAATGCCACTTCACGCAAACTTCAATTTTATAATATGGTTATATATTTAATCATATCAATTATCTTTTTTACATTTTTATTTATCCCAAATATTGATGACAAAGTTATTTATGGTATTGCATTTTCTTTTGCTATTATCATAATATTGGTCGTTTATTGGTTCTTTATTCGTAACGGAAGATTGGTAATTATTTGTTATTATTATTGTGTGTTGTGAGGCACAATATTATATATTATTACATCTATATTAATTAATTTATTTATTTATTTATAATATTTATAAATATCTTTATTTTTTAATGTAGCAATTGAAATTTTTAAATAAATTATTAAGAAAATACAACAACGAAGATTTTTCAAAAAACATCAATTGGAAATTAGTTAAAACAGAAATTAATCAAATCAATCAATTTGTAAATATTTCAATTATTAACTTATTAAAATATTATAATATAATGTATATTTTAATGTTTTAATATTTTAAAAACTTAACATTTAATTATTTTTTATTTTTTAATTTTATTTTAGTATTTAATCATCTCGAATAATGTTAACGTGAATAACATAAATCACATGAATAATGTGAATAACGTGGATGAGCCACCACCCCCTTATTTTGCATGAAATTATAATGAAAATTCCATTCCACAATCTTAGATATACCATTCCTAAAAAAAATATCTTTAAATTTACTTAAAAGTTGCACTTTTTTTCTTCCTCTAATATTTGTCAAAACTATTAATAATTTGATTCTAAAACTTTTATACATAATTTAATCATTAATTCGTTCTAATATTATAATAAAAACTTTTTCATTACAATGTGACATGTTTCAATCTATTAGATTTAACTAATTACATTAAAAAAGAATCGTTCGTACTTGCCATTCTCGGTCAAATTAGTATAATACGATTAAATGTATGGTAAATCAGTCAAAACGATTAGATGTTTTAAATTTTTATAAATACGTACTACGTATCACTTAAATGATAATTTCGTCAAAATGGAATCAACTATATATGTATAGACTAATTAATGTTAAAATTTTATTATACTATTTTCAGAAAATTTTTAGTCATCAAAACTTCTATTTCTAATTATTTAATACTAAAAGAAATTATTCAGTTTTCACATGCTACTATGTTTTAGCGTGCAAATTTGCCCGCTAGACGGTTTAAGAGATATTATTTATAAGTATCTATAATTTCTGATTGTTTTTGTAACTAAGACAATCGTACTACTATAAATCCCATTCTGAAACACCGATAATTAGAAATGAATTATAAATTAGAATTGACATTTTTTGTCAATTTAATTTGACTAATCAAACAAAAAGGTATCGTTTAAAAAATTCAATTTTCATTCAAAAAAATCATTTACATAAGAGAAAAATTATGACATTTTTGGTATCGATTCAAATAATGATCTGCATTCAAAAAATTATTTGTATATGCGAAAATTTAGAATTTTTGTGATATTTTTTAAAAATGTATTTCTCTTTTGAAATATTTCCAGCCTATGTATGGGTAATCATAGCGATCTATATTATTTATTTGATTAATAATCCAAGAATAAGTGAAGTAAGTATTTTTATAATTTTTGTCATATAATACTTACTTTTAACAAATTTCTTCTTTTTTTTTTCCTTCAGAATGAACCTCCAATGGTTCCCTATAAAATTCCAATAATTGGCCATACATTAGATTATTTATTTAATGTTGATAATTTTTTGGCCGAATGTAAACAAAAAGTAATAACTCATTCCTAATAATCACGATCAAAATAAAATAAAAAAAAAAGATAAATTAACAAAAAATTTGCACGCGTAGTACGGTGATCCTTTCAATATATATGTATTCGGTCAGGTGACTACTGTAGCCGGAAGCGAAGTTGCTCATGAAGTTTATACAAACAATGCTTTTAGTTTGTTCGTCGCTACGCGAGATGTAAATAAATTTAATCAATCAAATTTCAAAAATAAAATACCGTATTTATTTTAGATGCTATGCTTATTATATTGTATTTTTATTATACATGGTAAACTTAGGCATTTCCTTTGTATCGTGTTTTAAAAAGTTTTGATGATCTTGAAACGATGGAACAAGTAATCAAAACAATACGTGAAGGAATTACTCCGAAATTATCTTTATACACTGGAAGAATGCAAAAACAACTATTATTCTCTATTAATAAGGAAATTGGAGATTGTTCTGGTAAGTCACTTTTATTCGCTTTGGTTTATTTTTATTTTTATTTTTATTTTTTTTAAATAATAATGACAATAATAATAATTATTTTATTTTATTTGTTTAGTCCCTAAATTAATAGCGAATAATAATTTCTCAATAATAATCGCTCGCCCAGTAGCTGATATCATAGTTGGACAGGTAAGATAAATTGTAAATTATAAATATTGATAATATCATAATATCTTTAATTTATATTAAAGGAAATATCAAAAAATGAAGACGTGGTCAAAGCTTTTGCTGATTTTACCAAGGATTTTGGATCAATCCTCGAAATACCTCCCATCCTTTCATTTATTCATCCAAATCTCCATGTCCAAGCTATCACTTTACCACTTAGATTTGGGTGGAATCCAATTAGGAAACATTTGCTCACTTTAAAGAAACATTTGAAACCTGAATTAGAGAAAAGATTGAAAGAGAAAAAAATTCTTGGTAATAAATATGAACCACCTGTGAGTATTAAAAAAAAAATTTAACATAACTTCAACACTATTAAAGAAAAATTAATTTTATTTTAATAATGATAGATGGATATAGTTCAATGTTATTTGAATAATCCTAAATACGAAACAAAAGTTATTACTGATGATTACTTAAATAAAATCTGTGAATTTTTATTTATTATTGTTGTTGCCTCTATTCACACCACTACTCGTTATACTACTTGTGCTCTTTATGGTAAAAAAAAAAGATATTTTATATTCATTAAATTATAATCATTTTATATAATCTTAATATATTATTTTTATGGTTATAATAGATTTTGCAGGAAGACCAGAATTATGGGATGATATTTATGAAGAACAAGTAAGAATTGATAAAGAAAGTAATGGAGAATTATCACTTCAACATATTAACAAAATGGTGAAATTGGATAGTTTTGTGAGAGAAATTTTAAGGACTTTTGACTTTTTGGGTATGTAAATTTTATATTATGTATATATGTGTATATATATATATATATATAAGTACTTAAGAATAATAATGAGAATAATTTTTTAAAAAATAGCTCCCGTTCCTCACAAATGTATGGAAACATATACACTTAAAAATGGAATGACAATTCCAAAAGGTATCATTTTAGAAATTTCTTTATTATTTATTTTAATAATCTTTTCCATTTGATAATATTGAAAATATTAATTTTTTTTTTAAAAAAAAAAAAATCTCATCTGATAGATCGTATGGTTCAAGGTTATTTAAAGGATATCCATCACAATACCTCATTCCTTCCTTATCATGGTTTGGAAAATAATTTTCCCGCATCAAAAACTGATAAAGATTATCTTATATTCGGCACAGGAAAACATGCTTGTCCTGGAAGGTTGGTATTTAAATATTATTTAGTTAATTAATATTTTATTTTTATAATAAATTTCAAAATTTTTTTGATGAAATTTATTAATTTTTATTTATTTATTTATTTAACAGATTTTTTGCTGTAAATGAAATTAAAATTCTTATGCATAAATTAATTTTAAATTATCACATTAAAACTCCAAGTGGAAAGATGGAGAAAAAAGGATATTATGGACCTTTTGCTATACTGCCAGATACTGGAATAACTTTCGAGAATAGAAAAAAATAGAAAAAAAATTTCCTGAACTTTTAAAAATTTATTTTCTATATAGATTAAATTAATATTTTCGCAATTTATGAAAATTTTTGTAAATCCTTTTATAATTTTTTTACAAAAATTTAGACAGCAATAACTTGATCAATATTTATTAGAACAAGATGAAACAACTACCATTCGAATGGACTTAGTATAAGGATTCTAATAAGTTTATTCTACAACCATTAAATAACTATCTAAAATAAATAAAATAAAGACACTGAAATAGGATATCTTGATCAATATTAGATGAAATCGAATATAACAGCTATTATTCAATTCCCCTCATTGAGGTGAATTGAATGGTAGTTGTTTTATCCAGATTGGATAGATATTGACCGAGTTATCATTTTTTAAAGTTTTGTATAAAATTCCTAGATTATACATTTTGCATGAAAATTTAATCAATGATAACTTGGTCAATATTTATCAGATCAGGATGAAAAAACTACCATTCGAATTGTATCAATGAAAGAATCTAATGAGTTATACAATATTTTTATACGATCATTGTATAATTGTCTATAATAAATAAATTAAAAGCATCAAAATAGTAATATATTGTTCAATATTGGATGAATTCAAATAATAATAATAATAATAACAATAATAAATTAATTTTAACTACTTCAAAACTTCCTTCTTCATGTTAATTGTGATTCTTATTATTAAAGAAATTTGATCGATTTTTCAAATAGTATTCCTCTTTGGCTCGAATAACTTTTAAATTTATCGAAGTTTTTGAATTTTTTGATACCTTATTTGCAATTTGAAGAAGAATTAGAAGAATTGTGATGATAAATTTTATTAAAACTTGATATTTATTATAGTTACGCTTTTAAAGAATTAGTTGAGAAAGAATTATTAAATATTGGATTTATTTTCATAGATTTGTTTTTAATGTTGTTGTTGTTATTTTATGAGTTCTTATTTAATTATTACCAAACTTTCTCTAACGCATGTTACCAATGAATTTCTTCTTAAAAATGATCAAATTTCCTTTAAGAATTTGCATTATTGTTAGGATTGAGTTTTTGATTTGTTATACACGCACTAATTCTCTTTTAATATGAGAGAAATTATATAATGACCATAAGTAGACTAGACGAGTACTTCATTTTATAATGCATCGTGAAAGTAAAATGCTGTTCTGTAAATAAATAAACACTAAATAAGGAATAATGAAAAAAAATGAAAATACGAGAATAAAAATATTGAATGCATTTTTTTTGTATAATTTGAATTATGAGTAATTATTGGAAATCCTGATAAACTTAGTAATATTACTGGTTAGTTGCTGATATAAAAATATTCTTTATTGAAAAAGTCGCAAGAATATGTATACGTGGAAGTAGCTAGCTCGAAATTGTCTGATATATATTGTTTATTTCATAATATTTCAAATATTCGTAACATTTCTTTATTAGCTCTTAAAATAACAATTAAATAATTTAAAAAAAAAAAAATTAAATAAAATAAAAATAATTAAATAATTAAAATAAAAATTAAATGATTAAGTAAAACAAAATTAAATAAAATAAAAAATAAAAATAAAGAAGCAAATAAACGTGGGCTTCTTTTGAGTGTAGTAAAAGGATTTGATACATTTATTCCAGTTGGGTATACATTTTTTCCTTTCTATTCATTTTATTATCACCATCAAAATATATTTATTTTTAGTGAAAGAAATAATTAATGATCCAACAAATGTTAAAGATATACGTAGTTTAAAAGTATAAAAAATTTTTAGAAACTTATAATAATAATATAAACTTTTATACTCTTTATTATTCTTAAATTAATTCTTTTAAAGCTTTTTTTTCGCTATAAAGTATTCCCAGAATAATATATTTGTTGGTCTATTACAATTAAGAACATGAAAAAAACATGAGCCTCCGCCACCGCTACCTCAAGCAATTGTTCTCTTTGAAATTCTTTAGATTTAATTGCATAGTAAAACGACCATATTTGTCTTAAATAACAGAAATTCTCCGGAAAGAGGTTAGACTTAACAAGGAAAAGACATGAATCACCACTCAAATAATAATATAATTTCTCTTTTCTTGAAATTTGCAAGACTGAAAATAATATCAAATTTTTTGCCATGGAAAACATAACATTGTTTCATTATTTACTGTAAAAAATATTTCAAGAATTGTCAAGGCAGATACTATTTTACGTTTTGAAATGAAAGCTCAACAGTAGTCACGTACGCGTACTTTCTAAATGCTCATTGTAAACAGTATTTTCAGGAACCTTAGGAACCATGTCTTCTAATTTTCTATAAGTCCTTAAGACATATGTGCCTTGTACTTTGACTAAAACGGAATTCTTTTCGGATCTAAATTATTTTGCCTTGGAAATTGTTTTCTATTAGAAATAATTTTGCAGCATCTGAATCAACTTTAGCATTCTTAATAATTGTACCATCTTTTTTGTAACGATCGCCTATAGCTGTTATTTCAGCCGTAGCTTCAAAAGGAATTTCGTTATTCACAAAATCAACGTAATCAATAGATTTTATACAAGAATTTGGTGGTACTTTGACTTTTTTAGCTATTACATATGATCCTTTCTTTTTAGTTGTAATCGGTTCATTAGCTTCAAAACTATATTTAAAATTAAATTCTTTTTCAATTTCGGTAAAGGGAAAAAGCAATTAATTTTGTTTCTGATATAAACTCAGGGATTCATTAAAACTAAAGCTATATGTATTAGTTAATTCTTCTTGAAAATTAAAAGTTGGGATAAATTCTGCTGATGAATTCAGATTATCCAGAATATCCTCGTGAAGAGTTTTCTTTATCTGCTGTCTTTTATGTCTGAAGAAAGGTTATACTTGAAGTTGTCAACTACAGCATTCAACTTGCAATCAAAAGACGGAGTCAACTTCCATAATTGTCTTGAATAATGTTCATCTGTTGGTCTTTGACAAGGTATCTAAAAAAACAACTATTCTGTTCATTTTGTAATTGAAATTCTTTATTCTTAAAATCAGTTGCAAAGTGAAATGACCATATTTGTCTTAAATAACAGGGATGCCCTGGAGGATTATCATTTGAACTCAGGAAGAGTTTTGCACAATTGCCACCTCCCCAACTATCCATATAATTTCCATTGATAAACATTTTGTATCTTCCTGTACATGAAGTTCCCCTGATAACAAATGCTTGTCTGAAATAATGTTCATGCTCTGGAGGATGGTTTTCACAAGGAGATGAACCATGACTGCTACCTCAATCATAAAGATAATGTTCGTCATTCGAAATTTTGTAAGGATACCCATAATAATATTTAATTCTTTACAACCAAAAGAAAGCACAAATTTATTGGGAATTCATTAACCATATTTTTACTGTGAAAAATAAGAATTGTTTTATGTTTTGAAAATGAAAGTCAAACAGGACAAAAGAGGGTTATACAAGTTATTTATTAAATCTAAGATCTTAAAATATTTTACTAGCCTGATTTTGGTACTAAAATACTCTTTATGGACATTTCAAAAAAGTACTACGTATTCATTAGTTCATTTATACATGATAATTACATTAATATAAGTTTTTCGATATTATTTTTACTATAAACTTTCTTTAAAAATTAGTGTCTAAACTTTATATATGATCCAGATACTAAGCCTGTAATGCAGTAATAAAGAAATAAAATTTACTACAACAGTTTCAGAAATCTAAAAATATATTTATTAGTATTATTTTTGTTTATTTTGTTTATTACATATAGTTTTATAATTTTGTATTAAACACATTGGCTGATTCCCAACTGAATTTCTTGCCGATTCACAGATTTAAAACCTATTTATATATATTTCAAAGTAATAAAAAACACGAAACTCAATAATTGAATTTTATTGTAAAATTGTTAATGTACGACTTTTTATTTTGTGCAAACTTTTTAAATTCTCATTGCACACATACTTTCGACATTCATGTCTTCTAATTTTCTATAAGTCCTTAAGACATATGACCCACGGAATGTGCCTTGTACTTTGACTAAAACGAAATTCTTTTCAGATCTAAGTATTTCGCCTTGGAAATTATTTTCTCTTAAAAATAATTTTACAGCATCTGAATCAACTTTAGCATTCTTAATTATTGTACCATCTTTTTTGTAACGATCGCCTATGGCTGTTATTTCGGCCGTAGCTTCATAAGGAATTTCAATATTTTCCACGAAATCAATGTAATCAATAGCTTTTATACAAGAATTGGGTGGTACTTTGACTTTTTTAGCTATTGTATATGATTCTTTCTTCTTAGTTGTAATCGGTTCATTAGCTTCAAAACTATATTTAAAATTAAATTCTTTTTCAATATCGGTAAAGGGAATAACAGTAGTTAATTTTGTTTCCGGTATAAACTCCAGAGATTTGTTAAAACTAAAGCTATATGTATTAGTTAATTCTTCTGTGAAATTAAAAGTTGGGATGAGTTCTGCTGACGAATCCAAATTATTCAGAATATCCTCATGAAGAGTTTTTCTTATCTGCTGTCTTTTTATGTCTGAAGGAAGTTTATACTTGAAGCCGCCAACTGCAACATTCAACTTATAATTAAAAGCTGGAGTAAATTTCCATAATTGTCTTGAATAATGTTCATCTGTCGGTTTTTTACAAGTAGACCAGAAACCGATCCGGAAACCTCCACCATTACCAAGGGTATCTAAAAAATGATTATTCTGTTCATTCTGTATTTGATATTCTTTAGATTTAGAATCAGTTGCAGAGTAAAATGACCATATTTGTCGAGAATAACAGGGATGCTCTGGAGGATTATCAGTTGAACTCAGGTAGAGTTTCGTATCATTGACATTTCCTCCCCAACTATCCATATAATTTCCATTGATAAATATTTTGTATCTTCTTGTACATGAAGTTCCCCTGATAACAAATATCTGTCTGAAATAATTTTCATGCTCTGGAGGATGGCTTTCACCAGTCGTTCGAGGAGATGAACCATGATTGCCACCCCAATCATCAATATAAAGTTTGTCACTCGAAATTTTGTAAGGGATACCCGTAATAATATCTAATTTTTTGCCATCAAAAGAAAGTACTAATTGATTGGGAATTTTTTCATTATCAACCATCTTGTAAAAAATAGAGTAAACTAATATATGTCAAACAAGAATGTGGGATCTTATTTGTGCGCGAGAAAATTCGTTTAAAATTTATTCCTGATTGTTGATTTCATTGCATTAATTGTAATTATGATCTAATTCATTACATCGATATTATATCATTTAAAAGAGGGGTAACAAATAAATTGTTCGGTACAAAACTATTGTACTGAGGTAGCACAAATGCCACGGGGAATGCTGTACGAGGATTGTGAAGGTCACGGGAGATGGTAGCAAGATGACAGTGTTACCTGAGGATGAGCATGCTACCATCTAGATGACAGATTTCTCATCCTTGCATAGCATCTTTCATTCTTGTGTGTCATCCTCGGGGAAAAGGAGAAAACGTGTTTAGACGTGAAAACAAAAGGAAAAAGAGAACAAACTGGAAGGTATAAAAATAACCAGTGAAAAAAGGAGGAAAAGGAGATTCCTCTTCTCACGAAAAACTTTTAAATCATATAACTTTCTTACCTTAATAATGAATTTCTTAATAATTTTATCATAACAAATAATTTAGTAACAATCAGAATATTTCATAATTATATTTTTTTTTTTTATAAATAATTTTCCAATAATTTTTGTAATAGTTTTTAATTGTCCAGAGCATAGCGTAGGACTCACATTTTCAGGTAAGCTCACAAGATCATAAGTACAGAAATGTCCGTCTGTCCATCCACGTGATATGATCTATCTAAATAGTCATGTGACTAGATAAATACATACAGAGCTCTTTGTTGAAAGAGCGTCCTTATTCTGGACCCCTGGTTCAGGGTGAAATTTATGAACCCCCAGGGTTCAGGCAAATTATTCTAGACCCCATCTTTTTTAGTAATAAAAATTTCCAAAATTAGGGTCTAAGATTTGATTGGAAAATTTTGCGAAATAATTATCATTTTTTTAAAGTCATTTTTTATTTTTTCAAAACTCCAAGCAATATATATTAATATACCATAA